TACCATTTTGCAATGTCCCCTCTTTATCACTAATAATTGTCTTTGTTCTGAAGTCTGCTTTCTCTGAAATTAATGTAGCTACTCCAATTTTCTTTTAATTATTGTTAGCATTGTGTATCTTTCCCTGTCCCTTTATATTTAACCTATGTGAGTCTTTGTATTTAAAGTGATTTTCCTTTAGACAACATATAGTTAGGTGTTATTTATTTAGCCAAGGGGTCTCTGGATGATGCAAATGGTTAACGTTCCACTACTAACCAAAAGGCTGCCAATTTTAATCTATCCAGAGGTGCCTCAGAAGAAAGGCCTGGTGATCTGCTTACAAAAATCAGTCACTGAAAGCCCTATGGAGTAAAGTTTTACTCTACACACATATGATCACCATGAGTTAGAATCAATTTGATGACAAAAGATTTGGTGTGCTTTGTTATTTATTTATTTATCCACTCTGACAATATCTGTCTTTTAATCAGCGTATTTAGACTATTCATATTTAAATAATTATTTATGTAGTGGAGTTAATATTTACCATGTTTGTAACTCTGTCGGATGTGCTGCATTTGTTCCTTGCGGTTCCCTCTTTTCTGCCTTCTCCTCTTTTGAGCATTTCACATGGTTCCATTTTATTTTCTTTCTTAGCATATAAATTATACTTCTTAAAAAATGATTTTTTGATTGCTCTAGAGTTTACGATATACATTTAAATTACTTTAAGTTTACCTTCAATCAGCACTATGCAGCTTTACAAGGAGAGCAGGAGCTTTATCCCAGAGTATCACAATTACTCCCTCCCGCTCCTGTGACTTTGCTGTCATTCATTTATTTCTCCTTATGCTGTAATTATCCACTACACTGTTACTACTATTACATTAAACAATTATTTTTATATCAACTATAAATAAGGAAAACATACATTTTTATTTTACTTTAATTTATTCCTTCTCTGGTACTCTTATTTTCTTTATGGAGATCAAAATTTCTGACCTGTATGATTTTCCTTCTGCTGAAAAGTTATTTTAACATTTCTTACACAGCAGATATACTGGCAGTAAATTATCTCAGGTTTTGTTAGTATGAGTAAGTCTTTATTTTTCCTTCACTTCTGAAGGGTAATTTCACTGCATATAAAATTCTAGGTTGGTGTGTTTTCATTTCTTTCCACCCTTTAGCTATTCCATTCCACTCTCTTCTTGCTTACATAGTTTCTTATGAGAAGTTTGCTGTTACTCTTATCTTTGTTCTTCTATAGGTAAGACATTTTCCTCCATTAGCTTCTTAAGATTTTTTTCTTTGTCTTTATTTTTTTGCAGTTGCAATATGATAGGCTTAGGTGTAGTTTTTTGATATTTGTCATTTTTAGTGTCCTCTAAACTTCCTTGATTTGTGGTTTGGTGTCTGTTACTAATTTTGGAAAGTTCTTCAATATTCTTCGGCTCCATTCTCCTTCTTTTCCTTTTGATATTCTATGTATGCAATCAACTTATATTTCTTATTCTTGAATTTTTTTTTTCTTTCCTCTTTGAGTTTCAGTTTGAGAACTTCCTATTGACCTATATTCAAGCTCACTGATCCTTTCCTTGGACATATCAAGTCTACTAATGAGTCTATCAAAGGCATTCTTCATTTCTGCTAAAGGGTTTTTGATTTCCAGCATTTTCTTTTTAATTTGTTTTAAGATTTTCATCTGCTTACATTGCCCATCTGTCCTTGCCTGTTGTCTATTTTTCCATTAAAGTCTTTAATGTATTATTCAGAGTTATTTTAAATTCTCTGTCTGATAATCCCAACATCTATGTCATATCTGAGTTTGGTTCTGATGATCACTTTGTTTCTTTAGAACATGTTTCTTCTTGCCCTTTGGCATGTCTTCTGATGAAGCCAGATATGTTGTATTGGGTCACAGGAACTGAGGGAAACAGGTCTTTAGTATGAGGATTTATATTAATCTGGCTAGGAGTTGGGCTCTGTTTAATGCTTGCTGCAGCTACAGGTGCTTGAAGCTTAAAATTCCTCTGCTGATTTTGTTTTTTCTCCCTTCCTGACTTTCTTGCCCTAAGTACTCCTACTCAGAGAGACCCTGTGTCTTGCAGATCTTTCAGCTATAATCCACTATTATTATGTTGGAGTCTTGTTGGTGTGGTGGTAAGGTATTCTATAATCTTCTGATTAAATTTCAATCATTTCGCGATCCTATGTCTCTAGTTTAGCTCTGTCCCCATAACCTCCTCCTTTTCCTTACTGCAGTGTTCCCAATGGATTTCTTTGAAGTCCTGACCTCTGTTGACTATGACTTCAATATTCTTCTGCTTCATTATCTTTCTGGTATTCTATTTATGCAATAATCCCATAGTTCTTATTCTCGAATACTCTTGGATATCTTTTTTCTTTATTCTCTTTGAACTTCCAGAAATTTAGAGGGGATTTCAGTGAGTGGAATTCCCTTCTATCTGCTGGGATACAACTCTGCAGAACAGGATTTTGTTATGGAAAAGACTTGTAGTATTTAACAATTACTCTTCCCCTGCCAAAACCATAAGGGGTTCTTTCTCATATTTTCACCATGAGAACATGGTGGGGTTTCTCCAGGTAAAGCCCATGAAAGTATGGGGTACCTCTAAGATTGTAGCTCCCAGAAGTTTCTCCCTCTCACACTAGTCTACACTCAGCCTCTAGCAATTCTTCAAAGTTGCACCTTAAATATTTCTACCAGTTTATGGCTCCATTGTTTTTTGTTTCAGGTAAGGAGATCTCAGTTTTAACTCTCTTCATGCATCTGGCCTTCCAGATTTCAGGATGTGTTTGCCTTACCACTTCAGTCCTCTGAACAATACAAGAGAAGTCACTGAATTTTAGTCACTAGACTTTTTTGGTTGTAAGGACATAACTGATGACTCCTAAGAGTTGAAGCTAGAAGACCCTCCACACCTGTTTTACATAATTCTCTTGGTCCCTACTCAGAGTGCTTGCGTCCTGAAGGGCTGCTTCACTGCCAACCATACCCTTCTCAGCTTTCTCTGGGTTATGGACTCCTGTTGCTGCAAATTTCCTCACATTGTTTCAGGCTCACCTCCAAGTGTTGATAGAACCATGGAAACTTCAGCTGGAGATAAGCAGAGCCAGTGCTCCTTAAGACGGTGGGAACACCTGATATGCAGAGCATATGGCAATCCCTACTGGTGTTGAAGGAAGTCAGCCCCACACGAGGCAAGACATGCAGGGTGGGGGACTGGCTTCTACAGTTAAGGATGCTCCTTTGGAATCATTGAGATGTACAATGTGTCTCCCCATATCATGGTGAAGAGAGCAATGGACACTCCCACAGGTGCAGAGAAATAGACGACCCATAGGCCTTAGATGCTTAGACATGCCCTTACAACATTATGCTTTATCTTTAAGGGTTTTATATGATAGGTACTGTGACAGGCTTAAAAAAGCAGGATTTCACATGGACTTGAGAAGAGGTATACTTATGTAACTTAAGAAGCAAAGATCTGTCATAAGCCTCCTTGCTCAAATCCTCTTCTATTTCCCTAAATAGTACTTTCATAATACTTCTGTTTTTCTTTAGTTACAGATAGGGCCATCCTTCGAAAATCTGATTCCCATTAGTCTTTTTTAGAATGTTTGAAATTGTAGAGCAGGGATTAACTTTAACCCTGATTGATAAATAGGACATGTATAATTTTGGTGTTTCTCTTAGATACTGATACCGGACTATAAAGATGCTTCATTGATCTAGGTGATATTTTTGGTACCAAGATGTCTGGAACATCCAGATCCATCTGGACACTTTTGCTCAGAGATGGGTACTATGTCTTCTAAGATAGCAAAAGATTTTTTTAAAAAAGAAAAAGATTGGCTCTCTAATAGCTTCCTCCCTCCCCCAAGGGAAAATATCTGTAAATTAGGAGTACAGGTAATTCTTCCCTCTCTTCAGAGGTCAGCAGTTCAAACCCACCAGCAGCTCCACAGAAGGAAAATGGGAAAATCTACTTCCATAAAGATTTACAGCCTTGGAAACTCACTAGGGGTCGCTGTGAGTCCAAATAAACTCAATAGCAGTGAGTTTGGTTTTTGGTTTTTTGATACCCTGTGTAACGGAACACAGGCTGTTACAGTGATAGTTGGTAAACTTGAAGGGGATCAGGAAATATGTTGCAATTGAAGTGGATTTAAGCAATATATACTTTAAAGGTAATTTTCTCCTTTAAATTGGGTTTGAAACATTTCACAGCCTGCTTTCTGCAATGCTGAAGGATATCAGGCCCTTAAAGTGTTCTAAGATTCTTTGAGTCATCTGGTATCTGCCTTTCCCAGGCAGGCTTCACTGAGACCCCAGGGAGGTTACTAAAAAGGTGATTGCAGCAGGAGAAATTGAAGGACACTGGGGTGGAGATGTGAGAAAGGAGAAAACCAAAACCAAATACCAAACTCACTGCTGTCGAGTCAGATCTGACTTATAGCAACCCCTCCTTGGGTTTCCGAGGCGGTATCACTACGGGAATAGATTGACCAACCTTCCTTCCAACGAGTAGCTGGAGGAATTGAACCGCCAGCCTTCTGGTTAGCAGTCAAAATGCCTTAGGCAAAGGAGAATATGCATGTAAATGAGAGGTTGGAAGAAGCCCAGAGGATGAGTGAAGATGAGCAGAGAAGGCTTGAGAGAGATCTGGATGACAACAGTTACAGGGCAATCCCCGGTTTGGAATGAGATAGGAAGTGAAAGAATAGAAGAGATGTGGGGACTAGAAAAATGATCTGTGAGAGAAGGAATAAGGTCAGAGATATAAAAGGAATCAGCAAAGAGGAAAAAGGAGAGATAAGTGAGTGATATGTGACTATACATTCACAAACACACATATACACACACTTGCATCCACACACACATATACACATACTTGCATGCACACACCCACAGTTCTTAAAGAAGGGCTGGGCCCACTAGAGTCCCTCATTGCATTGTACAGACAGAGCTCTTTGAAATAATATGAAAATCATACCTTGTTTTGTTTAAGGGCACCTTTCTCTTTCATGTGAGGGCAGTCCTTTCCCGTCACTACAGCTTTGATATCTGCCACTGGCACTGTAATTCACAAAAGAAAATGAAAGTAACTAAACAATGTGAAAGCTTCAGTGTCAATAAAGAAGCAGAACTAAGCCTTGAGCCTGATGATAGAGTTGCCAGCCATAATAACAACTGCAAAAAAGAGAAAAGTGGTCTAAAAGAAGACTAGAAACTAAAATATATTCTAGTGAAAAGCACTGAGAGAGGGGTGGAAAAACTCTGTCCATAAAAGGAGTCTGATTCACTAAAACAAATACCTAAAAAAAAAAAAAAAAAAATCACGGTATTGTTGAAAGTGATAACAATGGAAACAGCAGTAGTAACAGTCACAATAGTACCAAGATTATAGCTCCAATGTGCCAGGAACAATGCCAGATGATTTCCATTATTATCATATCTTGCTACACTATCTGAATCTATTTGGTTTCTGAGTTTTGGAAAATGAGGGAAAGCAACTCTATCTCAAAATATTTGTCTGAATTTAAACATATCCTGAAAACTCATTCTCCAAAATCTAGCTCTCTACCATCTCAATTAATTCTCATAATAATTCTGTGAAGTAGGCTTTACTATCCCTATTTTATAGGAGCTCTGGTAGCATAGTGCCTAAAGCACTTGACTGCTAACCAGAAGGCTGGCGGTTCAAACCCACCAGCCACTCCTTGGAAGGAAGGTTGGGCATTCCTACTTCTGTAGTGATGCTGCCTCGGAAACCCAAGGAGGGGTCGCTATGAGTCGGGGCCAACTCGATGGCAAATAAAACAACAACAACATTTTATAGACAAGAAACTAAACTCAATAAAGTAAGATGAATGTTCTTTTCTGATAAAGAAATGGTAGTTGGTATCCATCTTGAAATTCTGGAAATAATGCCGTTTGATAAAATGATGTTGTCTTGTGTCTTACTCAGGATATGAAGGATAATAAAATATGTGAAAATATTTGTGCATTTAAACCTTTTCGTTAAGGTCAACCAAGAAAGAAGTCAGTCAATGGTATCTTAGTTGTCTTGTGCTGTTATAACAGAAATACCACAAGTGTATGGCTTTAACAAACAAAAGTATTCTCTCACAGTTTAGCAGACTACAAGTTTGAATTCAGAGCACTGCCTCTAGAGTAAGGCTGTGCCTTTCTGTTGGCTCTGGGGGAAGGTCTTCATCTCCTTTCAACACCTGTGGGCCTGGAGTTCCTTAGAGATCTCCTTGTGTCTTGGCATCAGTCTTCCCCTGGGTCTAAGAGGTTCTCAGTGCAGGGACCTGGGTCCAAAGGACACACTCTGCTCCTGGCTCTTCTTTCTTGGTCCCTCTATCTCTGCTCATTTCTATCTCATTTTATTTCTTGCAAGATAAAAAGTGATGCAGACTACACCCTAAGGAAGCTCCCCTTACTTTGGATCAGGGCTATGACCTGATGAAGGGTACTGGATCCCATCCCAATCCCCTTACAAATGATTGTCTAATCATGTCAGATCATGTCACGGGGGATGATTGCATCATTGTATAATTACCAAGTCATATCATTACATAACTGCCAAATTACATCATTACATAACTGCAAAACCACTGAGAATCATGGCCTAGCCAAGTTGACATATACTTTGGGGGGACACAATTCAATTTATGACAGATAGTTTGGAGCCATAAGTTAAAAAATGCAAAGACATCTCATCCCACTCTGATCCTTAATCCTACATTCCAATGAGGATTGTGAATCCAGGGGCTCAAGCAAACTGGCTTGGCTTTTTCAAAGTTAGGATCCATAGGAGCTTTAAGTAATCAATTCTTTACACTCTCTGAATGAGAAAGATAATGAAGATTTTAAGTGTAAGTTCACATACTTTATTTGAAAATTGATTTGTGGGGATGATATTTAGATAAAATATATAAAATTACAGAGTATGTAGAATATTAGAACAATATGACAGGAAGTCTCCTTAAAAGCTAACACTTTTCAGGGAGCCTAAGATTACTAAGAACTTTGCCCATATGTATATGAACACTGCTGGAGCTCTAGAATTCTAACTCTGTAAAGAGTGGGATGTTGTAATGAACTCTTCAGAAAGTCTTTGCAGATGCCCCTGCTATCTTCCCCAACATGTCTGCTCCTCCCTCTATCTTGCAGCCCCTGACTATAGACCCCCTTTGGTAGACATTATGTTTGCTCACTAATACCTGGCTTTCCTTTCCTTCTGAGCAGATGGAAGACTTTACTTCCTAGTGCCCTTTGCACTTTGTGATTAGTTCTGGCCAATCAAATGCAAGAGGAGTGGCATGTCTCTTTTCGAGGCTAACGCAGTGAAAAGCCTGTGTCCTCCAGTTTCTCTTCTCCTGCTGCAAAAAGTGAAGAGGCAACATGTTCCATATGCTGCAGTTGAGGGCTGGCAAAGTACCATTGGTCTGTAAGCCTGGAGGAGCCCTTTGCCAACCCATGTAAGTTACATAATGTGAGTGAGAAATAAACTTCACTGTGCTAAGCCACTGAGATTTTTGGGGTTGTTTATTCCTGCATTGTAATGTAGCAATGTAGTCTATCCTGACTGGTTTACCTCTTTATCTCAGATACTTTTCCTGCCTGTCTGCCTGGCCCCTTTTGGACTGGTATCTTCTTATGTAGTCCCTATGATTTCTGAACTTACCTTTAACTCTGAACACTGACTTAAGTTCTCAAATCCATTTTCATAATCAGCCCTGTTGCCCTTCAGTAGCCTATCTAGCTGCCTACTCAGTGCTCTGAGAGGGTATATTTGTGCACTTGGGGAAGTTGGTTTACTTTTCAATAAGAAATCCACCATTGAAGTGATTGCAATATCATTAGCATAATCAATTTATGAAAACATCCTCAAGTTTCAAAGCGTTAGTCATAATTGCATTGTACAAGTCTTTTATAATGTAATATATAACATGGTCAATGAACTAAAGAGATTGTCTACATCTATAAATAGAAAGTCACCCCTTGGCTTTGAAAATGCATTATATGGAATGAGACAAGAGTAACATACATGTCTGCCATGGGGCAGTCTTCAGAATCTCTAATGGGAAGGCTTCAGGTGAGAAAAGGTGCTTTTCCATCGGGTTTTGTGGCAATACGTATTTTATGTTTTTTACATGCATTGTCCCCTGTCAAGGAGACAAGCTGTGATATCACTCATAGGATGATGGCTAAAAAGAAAATACAGAATACTAAAAATACAGCATGGCTTTTAAAGGTTGATCTTTGCAGAGTTTCTCTCAAGATGTACTAGAAGATTAGTCATGAAAGGGCTGAAAAGCCTTCCTCTCTGTTACCATGAGCAGAATTAGAGAAATCAGACATACAGCTTTTGAACCTACACTCTAAGGAGACAGTGGGGTCTTGAGATGACTTCAAAACCAGGCTGGTATGTAGATCAGGCCTTTTTGTGTGGGAGCAAATGAAGACCCAGGGCCTAGTGAGATGGGAACTGAGGGTCACGAGTGAAGGAAGCAACGCCCCTCACCCCCTAGACATAGCCTCATTCCTTTCCATGCTTTTTTTTAGTTTGAGCTGGATTGAGACTATCTAATTCAGCAGTTTCACTTTGTAGATGGGAAGACTGAGGCCGAAAGAAAAGAAGTAAATGATGCAATATCACACAGCTGGGGCTGGGGCTATTCTTCCTCCTACATGCTCCCTTGGTGAGCTGTGATTTCTCCCAGTGTTTAGAAGGTACCTCAAACTACGCTGAACAAAGCCCCAATGTGGTTATCACTTTATACAATCTCATAAAACTCTGTGATCACTAATATCTGTGGAAGGGCCTTAATTGTAATTTAAAATAAAAATGCCATTGAAAAAGCAAATGTGGACACCACAATGCAAGCCATGTTGAGGCTGAAACCATGGCCAGAAAGAGGCTGCTAAACCATGAGTACAAGAAAAGTTCCTGTGTGTGGAGATGAGGAGAGAAAGACTGATTTCAGCCGTCCAGTTCAGCGAAGCACCTGGCCTCTAACCTGGCAGGTCAGCACAGATTGGGAGAAAGGGCCATGCACTGGTATCAGGGAGCCTGGGTTTGAATCCTAGATCCATCTACTGGCTGTGCAATTTTAGGCTTGACTTCTCTGAGCCTCTGAGACTCACATGAAATAAGAAGTCTCCATATAATCTATCTCATAGGATTGTTCTGAGAATTAACTCCTAACATTGGTGCCAAGTTCATTGTTGGCTTTTAATCTAGGCAGTACAGAGAAGTGGGTGTAAATCTGAGCCACAAAGTCAGATGGTTACAAACACTGTGACCCTGAATGAGTTCCTTAAGGAAAATCTGTTTTCTTATCTGTAAAACAGGAACAACACTATTCACCTCTTCAGGTTGTTGAGAGGATAGTTTATATAAAGCTCTTAGCACAGCACCTGGCATAAAGGAAACCAACCCCAAACCAAACCTGTTGGTGTCTAGTCAGTTCTGACTCATGGCAACCCCATGTGTTATAGAGCACACTTGCTCCATAAGGTTTTCTTGGCTATAATCTTTATGGAAGTAGACTGCCAGACCTTTCTCTGCAGTGACGCCAGGTGTGTTTGAATTGCCAACCTTTAGGTTTGTAGTTGAGTGCTGAACCATTTGTACCACCCAGAGACTCTCTGGCACATAGTAAGCACTAAATAAATGCTATTAGTAATTATTCTCATCATCAAAAATCAAAGTTAATTCTCTCTGTAGATTTAGGGACCTGAATTATTCATTGTTCTTCAATGTTCCAGGTGACGATTTCACCTGTCTCTGTTAGCTGCTCTCAACTGTAATAGTATTAATCCCCTTACATGCTTGGGGGCAAGGCTATACTCTCCTTCCTACCCCCTTTGATGTGGGAGTGAGAAATGTTGGCCTATATTCTTTCAAAAGGAGGCAATGATGGCCCTGGAGCAGGGCTGGAAAGGTGGGAGTGTCCTGTGGGGGTGAGGATTGCCCGTAAGCCCCAGTGGGAGAGGAGTTGTTGTTGTTGTTGTTAGGTGCCCTCAAGTCGGACCCGAGTCATAGCGACCCCTCCTTGGGTTTCCAAGGCAGTATCATTATGGAAGTAGATTGCCCCATTTTCCTTCTGAGAGTGGCTGGTGGGTTTGAACTGCCAGCTTTCTGTTTAGCAATCAAGTACCTTAGGCACTATGCTACTAGAGCTCCTAGTGGGAGAGTTACATGGGGCCAATAGGAGATGTTGTAAGTAGATATGGATTTACAAGGGCCATATTTCCTGACAAGTAAAAGGAATATGAGAAGAGAGATTTCCTAAACCATTAGGGGTGAAGGTCGACAAGGAGAGGTCCTCAACCTTAGCCACACTAGCTATGTTAAGAGAATTCAATTACACTGTTTGACTCATCAATACCTCAATATCCTGCACTGATTAACTCAAGGGGCAGATGACAATTTTCCCTGTGGTCTCAAGAGAGGGCAATTGTACATGGCTAGAGCAAGGGCACTTAACATTAATTAAAGGATCCTCTCATTTTTCTAGTGGAATTAGATTTCTGACTTTTAAGGGCTCCAAGAGAGTGGCTATTCTGCTCCAGGCAGAATGCACAATTGGAATTAAATGCAAAACAAGTGGCAGGCATGAGGCAGCAAACTTTCCTTTCCAGGCCAGGGGCCCTCTCATATTGAGCACATTATGGCTTTATTTTATTTCATTACGTGAACACATACTCACCACTGGCATGCATGTGCATACTGATGTAATCTCACTCCCACATTCATATGCCTACTCACCCACATGCACATTCATATGCCTAGCACCCACTTGCATACACCTCCTCTCTCACCCACACAAGTATGCATTCTTGGTTTGTCTTGCAGTGAATAAACTGTTAGAGGAGCAGCTCTCCAGAACTCTGCAATACTTCAAAGATTGCAGAGGAGAGGGGTGGAGAGGAATTTTAGAGGCATCTAGGGAAGGACTGCTGCACCCTTTCCCCAGAGCCAGCATCACTCCAGTGCCATTATCAAAAGCCATTTGGAAATGTGCAGCTCTGGCCTTGCTCTTCCCCCGCAGCCATCCTGGCAAGTCTACTTCTGCTTTTAGATTCCCTGGCATCAAGGCTCCTGGTTCCTAGCCAGTTATTTTCACCTATGGATCCTTGGAGTGATGGCCTAATAGGGTTAGGGGTGGGGGACAATGGGCATCAGCTTGGGAGAAGGACTAGGAACCATCCCTACATGAGGCTCAGGTACTGTCTACCCCTTGAACATTTTCTAGGAGCGAGGTGACCAATTTCCTAAGCAACATGACCAGCTAGGATGGGAGAGTACCACATAAAATATACCAAATTTGGGGGGGGGGGGGTCAAATGTCTATCTTTGAGTTGAGAAATGGATTCTGTCCCTATAAATATGGGGACAAACAATAGCCTCACAAATGGCAGAACAGATCTCTGGATCCCATTGGGAAGCACTGAATCAAGCTGTGCTCTTTCTGCCTAGGGTACTCTCCCTATCTGTTAATCATGTTAAGAATGAGGCTGTGGGAGAACTCCTACAGAGTTCTGCTTGCTAAGAGCAACTGTTTTCATTTTATGCCGGCAGAGCGGTGATTCCAAACTGCTGGCCTCTGGACTGGTTCTAGCTCACAAGAGTTTTCTAACAACAAATGGAGGAAAATGAGGACAATGGTGTAAGTTTTGCATAAAGTTAATTTAATTCGTTCTTTTGTACATGTGGTCACTATGAGTTGGAGCCAACTCGATGGCACTTACCAACAATTTAATTTGGTAGCAGGGACTGTCCTTTATTCCAAGATTAGGTCACTTTTACTCTTTGGGTCATCAAGGATCACTACTTTTATGAAAGGATTTATGATATTAAATTGTTGTTAGATTTTATTTTTTAATATCCTTATTTACCAAAATTAAAACTCAGCAATCCCTTATCAATTTGATTTTTTTAAATTTATTTACTGATGAAAGGCAAAATTAAGGGAATCACTATGTGAGTACAGGGCAGTATTTAGCTCAGAGATTTCTGGGCCTCAGCCCCATAGGTTTTGAGTCAGCAGGTCTGGGAGCAGGGCCTGAGATTTTGCGTGTCTAACAAGATTTTGCAGTCTCAGCATGGTGCGAAAGTTTAGCACACTCAGCTGCTAACCAAAAGTTTGGAGGCTCAAGTCCACCAAGAAAAGCCTCAGAAGAAAGGCCTGGCAACCTTTTGTTTCCTGAACAAACAGCCACTAAAACCCTATGGAGCACAGTTCTACAGGGATACATAGGAGGTTGCCATGAGTTGGAATCAACTCCATGGCAACTGTTTGTTTTTTTTTTTCCCCTCCCAAATAAGGTCTCTGGTGATGCTCCTGTGAGAGCCAGGACTATAGTGCAAGAACCATTGGTCTAGCTTGTCCAGGCTGGGAAGTGGGGACCCTTCTGAGATCTAAGGGAGGATTCTTTGCCTATAAGCAGAAGCCTGAGACTGCCCACATATTAGGGTTGTGTGGACTCCATCCCAGGCTCTCTGTAGCAGCAAATTTCAGATTTTTTTTCTCCCTCACTATGGTGCCAATAAAATAGGATGGGGAGGCAATTCTATGGAAGGAAACAAGGACATTTTCTGAACTAAATGACACTACAAAAAGCAGACTTTCCCATTTTTAAGCTGGAGGAAGAAAGTACATTCTAGGCTGTCTGCCTGATATGTCAGCATGAAGTCTGGCTGTGTCAGGAAATTTCCCACTCATGATTTATTTTTGCCTTCGAGGGCCATGAGCTATAAGAAAGGCAGTGCAGATCTGACCCTGATAGGCCCTGGGATGGCAGGAGGGGTGGTACGGGGATTTAGGGGTAAGGACTCTGTCTGGGATATTCTTATCTGACTCACTACAGGCTCAATGTGACTTTGGAAAATCATTCAAAAGTGTCCTGATTTGTTTTCTCACTCTTTGATTTCTCTGCCTGGGATATCCTCTGCAATTATGTTTACTTTACATCATTTCTCTTCCAAGTAAATTGATCACTTTTGTGCATTTTACTGTTTACATAATATTTTGGATTATGTTTTTACTGGCCAATTCTTTGAGAAGTAGTTGGTCCCTTCCTTCTTCCCAGTCTGTCTTAGTCTAGGAGCTCCACTGAAACCTGCCCACCATGGGTGACCCTGCTGGTATTTGAAATGTTGGTGGCATAGCCTCCAGCCTCACAGCAACATGCAAGCCACCACAGGATGACAAACTGACAGACGAGACAAGGATTGTGGGGTTGGCACAGGAGTAGGCAGTGTTTTGTTCTGTTGTACATAGAGTCACTATGAGTCAGAACTGCCTTGTTGGCACTTAACAACACCACCACCATACTTTGGAGGAGTCACTGGGGGGTGCAAATGACTAACATGCTTGGCTGCTAACTGAAAGATTGGAAGTTCGAGTCCACCCAGGTGCATCACAGAAGAAAGTCTTGGTGATCTATTTCTGAAAAATCAGCCATTGAAAACCCTATGGAACATAGTTCTACTCTGACACACATAGGGTCATCGTAAGATGGAGCTGACTTGATGGCAACTGGTTCGGTTTTTTGGTATAAGAGCTAGCGTACTTAACATTGTCAAAAAAATTAAAAAAAAACCACCAAAAACCCTAAAAAATAAAAAAATCTGGCACCTGGGTTGGTGTGGGTCTAAAAAAGTCCAGCATATTATTGACTCTTCAAAAGCATACATGTTAAGACAGACAACTTTTGGCAATAGCAAATTAATACTAATAATATGTAATTCAGGTAATGTTTAGCAAATAAAATGTAACTGATCATAAATTTTCAAAGTATTTAGATCACTTCTTTGAAGTAAGTTAGCTATACTTGGATCTGCCATTAGTGCTGCATTGTAATTATGGAATACGCTAAACAATGAGTAAATGTGGCAGAAATCAAGCATGCAATTCATGTAAAATTATTTGGAACGATCATAAAAAGATTGTCAATAGGATTAAGTTTATATTGGTTTTGCTTGTTGAAAGCACCTGGATAAGTAATGCAAAAGTGACCATTTGAACTCTTAAGTTTAAATCTTTCAGGAAAAGTACTGAGAGCACTTGTAGTGTGCTCACCTCAGCTCAGCCTAAGCCCCACATCCACCAAGTCTCAAACTTGATGAGAACACTCAGGCTGAGATTTAGCATGACAAGATGAGACATGCCCACAGGGTTTATTTAAGCTGACAGTTTTTCTGCATACTTTAGTATTAGAAAACAAACCAAACTCAAAACAACAACCAAAACTCAAGGCTCCTTCCTAAGAAAGCCACTTACATTTGTCCTGCAATGAGTCATGGGGCACTTCTCCCTGAGGGCTTTCTTCCAAGTCTCCATAATGCAGGACCTTGTGATTTGGTGAAAGCCGACAATACCAAAATTTGTCTGGGGAAAAACAAAACATACACACACAAGTTTATAAGTAAGTGAATCTGGTTTCCAAATATATCAACATCCATATTTCTTAATACCCTTGCCTGGAGGAAAAAGCAATTCATTTGATTTTGAGTCTGCCAGAATATTTTTTGGCCATAAAGAGAAATGGAATCCCAATGCATGCTACAACACAGATGAACCTTGAAAACATTATGTTGAGTGAAATAAGTCAGTCAAAAAAGGACAAATATTGTATGATTTCATTTAATATGGGAGCTCTGGTGGCATAGTGCCTAAGGCATTTGACTGCTAACCAGAAGGGTGGTGGTTTAAACCCACCAGCCACTCCTTGGAAGGAAGATGGGGCAATCTACTTCTGTAGATACTGCCTCAGAAACCCAAGGAAAGGTCGCTATAAGTTGGGTCCAACTCAATGACTCGATGGCAGTGAGTTTGGTTTTTGGTTTCGTTGATTTATATGAAATATCTAGGAGAGGCAAGTGTATAGAGACCAAAATGTATTTGTGGTTATCAGGAGTGGGCAGAAGAGAGGGGAAAAGTGGAACTTCTGGGTTAGGGGCAGTGCAGTGCACTTCTGGTAAGGGTGATGTTAAAATTTGGAAATGGTTAATGGTAATGGTTGAAAAACATGATAAACATAACTAATACCACTGAATTGTACACATGAAAAATGTTGAGATGGTGAACCATTTGTTACATATATATTTACCACAATAATTTTTTTTTTTAAATAATGAATTCTAGGTTCAGGGAAGAAAGGCCCCTTTTGATTTTGTTATTTAGTTAGTACCTGTCCTGCTTTGTTATTTAGTTAGTTCCTGTATGCTTACTACTGGTAAAATTATTAAATCTTTCAACTTCAATGGCAATAGGTTTTTTGAGTGGCAGATTCCAGAGGGTATTTTATCATTATTTGCAATCACTTGGGGAACTATTGCTTACCCAGTTGTTGCTGTTGTTATGTGCCGTCGAGTCAGACCCAACTTATAGTGACTGCTCCTTGGGTTTCTGAGGCAATATCACTATGGAAGTAGACTGCCGAACCTTCTTTCCGAAGAGTGGCTGATGGGTTTGAACCGCCAGCCTTCTGGTTAGTAGTCAAGTGCCTTAGGCACTACGCTACCAGAGCTCCTGCTTACCCAGTTAGGTCTGGCCAAAAGGAGAAATGTAGGAAAAAAAGAGCTTTTTTGGAACTTTTCTGCTTCTACTTTCTTCTCTTAAAGTTTAAGATGTTAATAGCAAGGCCAAGTTCACCATGATCTACCTCCTGAAGCTAACACACACATGTTAATCTATCAAAGCATAGTAAGAATGCTAATGGAACACATAGGGGTTGGCACTCATGAGGAAATGATCTAAGTAATTCAGGAATTTACCCAGAGAATAAGGACATTCACAATCCTTTGTCTCATTAATTCCTAGAGTTTAGTCCCCAGAATAGGCATGACTAAGGACTTAGGATCATTCTAATAAATAACTCCCTCAACTTTATTACCTCTGTTCCCAAATGTAATGAAATATGAACACAATTGTGAGGTAGGGAGAAGGAGGCAAAGACTGCTTTTCATAGATGAAGAACTGGAATGGTGACAGCAATCTTTGTGTTGCTTTCAAGGCTCAGCTTAGACTCTGCCTCATCCAGGAAACCCTCTTTTGTTACTGCAGCTGGAAGGATTTTCTCCATCCTCCAAACTGGTACATCATCTACTTTGGCTTGAATGGGGATTATTGGGGTACATACGTCAACCACCCTATTCCCCATTATGTGCCACCGACCCTAGGTAAGCAACCTGCCCTAGTGAGTATACTAGGAACAATTACTGTTCGGGGAAGAGGACTCCAGCTCCGACAGTGCAGAGAAGGTAGTCACTGTCTTCATGACACTGTCCTAGTCCTTTAGCACAGACTAGGTACATAGAAGTTGCACAGCTGTTGCTGGCTAAACGGATAAAATGGTCAAAATGCCCAAGGCATAATGTGTCTATTATCTGTAAGCCCCTCTATATTGTCATGCAGCTGGCCAATTCTGTGTCCTCAGTCAGAAACTGTTTTGAAACTACTCTGACTATAAAGCTTTCCACCACACTTTTAAGAAAAACTCCTTTAAAAAAAAAAAATCTAAAATTGCTTTCACTGCAAAACCAGGTTTTAACTATGATTCTTTTAATAGAAAAAAAAAATTTACAAATGAAAATAAAAGCCACATAATGAGCAAACAAAAATGTCCTCACCTGATCTCGGAAGGAAAGTCCCCTGTGACTACTGCCTTCCTCATCTATGAATAGGGTTCAAGAATTCCTGACATATAGTCAGACTATAGCAATATATGTACATAAAATAATCTGAACTCTGCTGTAAATGCTTGAGAGGATTGAAAAACAGTTATTTGGTCACTAGGAAAACATCTGGAATTGCTAAATTTTCAAAATGGTTTTATATATACCAAATACAGGTCATTTTCCTGGAAAAGCATTTCAAAGGGAGGGAACACAGGTATTCCCTGAATAAATCATAGCCAATTTAATTGGGCTGATGTGTAATTATCAGTATTCCATGAGAAGAACACATTTGTAGATTTGACTTGTAATTCACAATAACTAGTTTCAAAGGAGGAGGCCATGCTTTGACCTTGACCATGAACAGTGTCCATGAGGGAACCTTTTATGGGTCTGGCCAGATAGTCTGTGGCAGTTCCTTTTCCCCAAAAGGATCTTCTGCCCCGTCTAATTAGCCTATATGATCACAAAGCCAGTTGGAACATTTGTGACCTCTGAGGTGAGATTTTTGGCTATGTGAGCAACTAAAGAGTGACAGAAAGCCAAGAAAGAGGTCATCAGAGATGTGATGTTTGCACATGCAGGTCTTGTTCTGAGTAAGGTCTTAAAAACAAAACAAAAAAACCTCACTGCTGTCGAGTTGATTTCAACTCATAGCGACCCCTCCTTGGGTTTCCAAGGTGGTATTTCTATGGAAGTAGATTGCCCAACCTTCCTTCTGAGGAGTGGCTGGTGGGTTTGAACTGCCAGCCTTCTAGGTAGCAGTCAAATGCCTTAGGCACTACGCCACCAGAACTCCCATGTTCATTATAGGAATCCCTTGCTTCTCAAGCTGGCACAAACTCAGGGTAAACAGTGGGACTTGAACTCAAAGGGTCATCATGGCACAATCAAGGATCAATTATATTCAATATATTTGGGACAGGGAGAAATTAAGAAATTCAAGTGGTATACAAATGTATTACACCAATTTATATTTATTTGCATAAAAAATATCAAACTTCAAAGAAATTTTGCTGCTTATATACTTTCAGGGTAAGTTTATATAGGTGCTCTGGTGCTAACTGAAAGACTGATAGTTTAACTCCATGCAGAGTACCTTGGAAGAAAGGTCAGGCAACCAACTTCCAAAAAATCAGCCACTGAAAACCCTATGGAGCACAGTTCTACTCTGACACACGTGGGATCAGCATAAGGCAGAACAGACTGGATGGCAACTTTTTATTCCCCCAAATTTTTTCAGGAATATTTTCAGAGTGTCTACTCTACACATAACACTCTACTGAATACAGCAAAAACATCATTAAGATGAAAGACAGTTTCAGTGGTTCTCTAGTGCTCCTATAACAGAAATACCACAAGTGGATGGATTTAACAAACAGGAATTTATTCTCTTACAGTTTAGGAGGCTGGAAGTCCAAATTCAGAGTGCCAGCTCTAGGGGGTGGGTGAAGGCCCCTTGACCTTGAGCTCCTGCTCTGCCTCTTTTTCCAGGCCCACTGAAGTGAGCTAAAGGCTTCTTCTGACTCATGCAGCTGCTGGCAACCAAGGCTGATGAGTCCAAGATCGACAAGTAAAATGGCACAATCCTAAAATAGGCAGGTAACATGGCAGTCCACAAGTTCAAGTCCAGGAACTGGAGATGAAGACACAGCCATATGCGGGATCCAGATATAGAGACCTTTCTCAAAGTTTTTCCTTATATACTGGAAGCAGGCCACACCCAGAAGGCAACTACTTAGCTGCTCACAGCAGATTCCACGATGTTGGTGATTACTATCTCATCACGGGGAATAAATCCAGCTACCCAGCCACTCAAAACCAGGCCCAGCCAAGTTGACACACAACCTTAACTACCACAGCAGACATAAGAGACAAAGCCAAGAAGCTCAAGAGAATGAGTTCCCTCAGTCTTAAATGCAGCTAGCTGAGAGAAAGATGGTGGAAACATGTGTCTGTACACTGATAGGTCTGGGAAGTAGAGGGAAGAAAAAATCAGCTGATAGGGAAAAATATGAAGCTGGAAGGTCTCCTGTGTAATATATTCTCACATTCATAAACTACTGGAGTAAAGTAGCTATTTATCAGGGTTTCAAGAGGCAAGACAACTACTTTCCTTGCAAAGTTGCAGTTAATATTTGTTTAAAAGAAACTCAGAAGGCTGCCTGGAAATAAATGTGTCATAAAAGCACCTGGTGCTGGCTGTCAGAATTCCTTCCTCCCAGAAGTTGAAATTCTCTTGATTTACATAACACCACTTGCCCCCCGTTTTCCTCTTTCCTCTGGATAATTTTCCTCTTAACTTGTATGCTATGAATTGAATTGTGTCACTCCCAGAATTATAATCCTCACCCTTATACCTGAGGATGTAATCTCATTTGGGAAGGTGCTCTGGTGGCATAGTGGATAAGGCACTTGGATGCTAACCAGAAAGTCAGTGGTTCAAACTACTGGCCACTCCGTGGAAGGAAGTTGGGGCAATCTACTTCCGTAAAGATTTACAGCCTCAGAAATCCAATGGGGGTTGCTATGAATTGGAATCAATTCGGTAGCAGTTAGTTTTTTATTTTTTGGTGTGTTTATTATGTTAATGAGGCCATGTCAGTGCAGGATATGTCTTAAAGTAGTAACTTTTTGAGATAGAAAAGAGCAGATCAGGCACAGAAGGACACAAGTACAAACGAGGGATGACAGACGCCATACCAGAGGAAG